GAAGACATTTTGATCAACTGGACTGGGGAGAAATGTTCACATATTGAAATGTTCACTTTGTAAGCTAAACAATGAGATTGAATGTACATAAATAAATAAATGTAAAAAGGAAAAAAAAAGAAGCAAGACATTTATGGGACACAGAAGTGGAGTATTATCTGTTGATGATAACATGTACAGTATCCTCAACTGGACTGGTGTGAAGTGCATTCATGTTGGGAAATTCACTTTACAAGCTAACTGATGTATAGTGATTTAATGCATAAGAGAAATTATATTAAAATAGAATATATTTTTTAAAAGAGAGAGGAATAAGAGACACATGGACACAGACACAAGCTCTTCAGCCTGTGCCACGTTGTGATACACCGAAAGACCCTTACCAGATGTGGCTTCTGGACCTCGGACCTTCAACACTCTACTAGTAGACCTCTATTCTCTTAAATTATCCAGACAGGGGTATTATCTGTTACTAGTAATGGAATAAACTAAAATGACATTGATAACAGACAGTTTACAATTTCAAATAAAAACAGGCCAGGGACCAGCGGATGGCATAGTGGTTGCCTCGCTGGACTCTCACATGGCCGACTGTGGCACAAGTCCTGGATCTGAGAATTTATGCCAGGCATATGTGTGTGCATGTGTAAGATTCTGGGAGAATGGAGGATGGGGGATTGTGATATGGCCATCTCTCCTAGGGGATGATTTACACTTACTTTGTCTCTGTCTCTCTGGCAAGTGCATGCACCCTATAGCAAAAATCTCTCTGAAAACAAACAACAACAACAAAAAGCAAAAAAACAGGTCAAATGAGCAGAGGAAAGATTTAGAAAACTTCTGCAATTAACATTTAAGAGGCATTAAATGATTCATCTAAAAATCTAACTCAAACGGGTACTTAAAAAACTGAAGAAACTATTTATTAGAAAAAAGAATAATGAAATGATTATCTGTTCTAAGGCAGTAGCTTCATGCAGTGAAGGGTACAGGCTCTGGCATTAGAAGTGGTCTGATGTGCACTCTTCACTAGGTGCGTAACCTTGAACACTATGAAATGTTAACATAATATCTACTCCCTCAAAACCACTCTTAGGATTAAATAAGATAATGAATATGATATTGTTAGTGCATTGTTAGAAACACTGTAATTAACTGACAACTATTTTAATGGTGATGCTGATAATGAGAAAAAGTATAAGCAATGAAGTGCTTTGATAAATTACATTAGAAAGAAATACATGACTGTTGTTCTCCAGGGCTCAAGATGATTTCATACTAGGTAAAACTATTACAGTGAGTAGGAAAAACTCCCCCTGGAAGTTCGGTGCCTGTGACCCTAGCATCATGGTCCTGCTGCTTATCCGTGTGGCCTAGGTTCATAGTTCTGCTCAATGAGGAGGCCACATGGCCTTCCTGTCCTAACCTCTATCCCTTCTTTGTAGTCTGGGCTCATGTTAAGGAAGAGAGCTGATGGCACTTTCCCTGTGAATTGAAAATCTGAGTTGTAATACTTAGTTCATTTTTCTCCCCCCAAATGAAGAGCACAGTCACTTTCAGCTTTCAGTGAGAAAAATGGACATACCATGCCTATTTCAACTGCACAAGAAAGCAGATGATGTCCCATTTCTTCTTTGAGGATGTACCTTGAGAATGAAACACAAACAAGCTCGGATTTCAGTTAGTCTTTAATAGAACTCTAATTCTGTAGTAGTAAACAGAGACCTAAATACAAAACACCAACACGTGTTATCTATTAGTAGTCCCAAGCCATCACAGTGGTCACCATGGTAAGCTGAGGTCCCTCATGTTTAAAGGAAATAGAAGTCACCCTGTTTCAGTGGAATGCAAGGTCTGGAAGTTGGAAGGCAAAGAAGAGGTTTATTTTGTGCAAAGTGGATTCACCTTACTGGGAAGCAGTTTTCTTCTCTCTTCCTTGCTTGGCATTTCAAAAAAAATATATATATATATTCATTTTCCTTTTATGTTGAAAATACTATAAAACTGAAAGGGCTTTTCCATTCTGAAATAAAATTAACTACACATGCCATACATTTCTGGATCAATATGCTCTCAGTATTAGCAATTCATAGAAAATTAATTGTTAAGAGAAATGATCACACTTGCCTACCCAACATGTAACTTAGAGTTCACAATACAGGGCTCTGTGGTATAAAGTGCCTATGAGTAGCTTCCCATCATGTACTGAGGCCACAGAACTCCCCTGCAGAACGGATCCATTGTTGGCATACACAGTAGTCACCGTAGGCTTCTCAGTTAGAATATTCTGGATGCGGAGAACCTATTCAGGAGATACAAAGTATCAATATTGAACCACCACACACCTGTGCCACTCAGTCACCAATAATCCCTGTCTTCCACAATGACTAAGTGAACATACTGTTGAAAATATCAGTGACTGATCTTTTTAATGTCTAAATGAAGGTAGTTTCTCAAGCATTCAAAGAATGTACTTTCTGAAACCACCTAGTTATCCTATGCCAACCCAGGACCTAGTGTTATGACAATTCAGCATTAATAGAAATACTTTCACACTAACATGCCTACTATCACACAACTTCAACATGAATAAAAATCATGTCATATGGTGCACTGACAATAAACCAGATATTTAAAAAATTGCCAGTATACCACACCAAAAAGGCATATCTTTATTAAAAAAAAAATGCCTTTTAACTAGTTTCCATTGTAATTTAACACATCAAAAGATTACCTTTTTTTAAAGTACCTCAATAATGTAACATTGTGCCAATTATTGGCTTAAAGCAATTACAAAAGTATTATAAAAACCTTACTTTATTATTGGTTTAAGAGAAGCAAACAAATCATCCCCGTGACAGTTTATTGTATTGTTAGTTCAAAAGGACTGGAATAATTAAGGTTGAAAAGCTGAAAATATACAAACCTCTGATGAGGGAGGCTTGTTCGGGTCATACACGAAGAGCTTCTGGCCATTAGGATGACAGCCTACCCAGATGTCCCCCGAGGAAGGATCGATAGATAAATTATCCACCAGTGTATCCAACTTCAGTACCTTCCAAATGAGAAAATGTCAATATCTAAATGACGTGAGGAACTTGATTAAATAATTTCCAGCTAACCTTTCCCATCTCTGTGCATGTGAGAAAATTAAACACTACTTTCTCCTCTT